TGAAAACTAGTCTATGTCGTTCCTGGTCCAGAATCTGGCCGGTTATTTATATTCCCTACACTTGACTCAAGCCATCGAAGATGGCGTTATCACTGAACTCATACGCCCACCGGCCCGCGTCTTAATTGCCGAGCCTTTTCCGTCGGGCGTCTTAATTTAGGGATCACGCTATCTTCGGCAGGGCAGCAGGTAAGTAGGGGGAGGTCGCATTACGCTGGTGTGATGGAGATCAAAATGAAATAGGCCAGATTTTGGACTACGTCGCTCCTGGTTTCGTGCATCTTGATTGTCGTGACATGGTTTTTCCGTGTTTGATATTTGTTAAATAATGCTTGAAGGAAAGGCAGAGTAGCCATTGAAAAATCTTGTGCACCATTCCTATACAGTGTTCTTACCATGTAACGCGTGTCATTGCAGTTTGTGGATCAAGTTAGTCATCTTGATAACCTTAGCATGCTGCATGGCCTCAGTCTAAATGTAAGTTACGGATATATACGAAAATATAATGTAAGATTACAACTACGAATCACCAACATTGACAACCCTGAGACAGTTACACAATAAGCACATATAAGAGCCGATTGATCTACAATTAAAAGGATGTATGAATCAATTACCTGATAATTTCCCTCGCCGGTCAGCTGCATTGTTGACATTGTTGACACGTCAGTATGCGTGAATCTCGGTTTGTTTAACTCTAAACTTTTACTGATCTAACCACCTTTTGCTAGAGCCTTGCCATCATTCATTATCCTTTTCTATCTGTCTTTCTTTTTTGACTTTTACTATCTCCCCTCTTATTTCCCCTTTTTTAAAAAAATTGTTTCCCTAAAATCCACAATTTCTTTATTGTTATATATTTTTTAATTTATTGATTTCTATGTATATTTTGCTTTCAAGACGTTTTGTAAAATAGCCCCTGAGGAACTAATAATTCAACAAGCTCTGCTTATAGTTAGTTACTCTTTTCTCGTGCAATTACTATTATATTATTTGCCTCGTTTCATTGTATATTCTTTGAAATATACTTAATCATTTTATTATGTTTTGCATGAGAAAAAAAATCCATTGAATCTTGAATGATCCCATCCACATTTATATCATGATATTATAGTTTGTAAAATATTTGAATTTCGTCTGAAATTGTTTTTTAACAAATATTCTTAAAGTTTATCTTAGAGGGCTAGGAAGAAAATTCGGTTAAAGGTCAGCATGAGCTGTGATTTTCGATCACTTGTTTTTCGTCATCCTCAGAATCTAAGCTTATATTCATTTTCTAAAAGTTTGAGCTCATAGTCACTTTGATCAAATCTTTTCTTTCATGCGTTAATATTATGTCTGTCAATTATTGAATTAATTTTCATCAATGATCTTTAATATTACCTCCCCCCAAAAGTAATATTGGAAACATACTGTCGGAAGAGTGACAGTCACTGTTTTTCGTTTTACCCCAATAACCCCGTAATATTATCAGGAATAAAGAAAAAGAAAAATGAATTTTATATAATATATAATATGATAATAATAATTACAATAATGATAATCATAATAATATAAGAGATTTATTTGTTTGCTTTTAGTTCCGTCATATAAAAAGGAATATACAATCAAAAGAAAATAGCAAAAATCTATAAACATATACATAATACACGGTGTACTTAACCAAGAAATCAATTGAAAAACAACAACATTCAAGAACAAAAGAATGCACAACGAAATAAACAAAAATAGAGAAACAGACGGCTTGATAGCCCATTTTCCTTTGCACTTGTATAATACGGTGCATCTGGTATTCCATGGGAACCAGAAAGAAAAAGACGAAGAAAAAGTAGAAGGGAAAGAATAAGTTGGAAAAAATGGAAAAAACATCAATACAAAACAAATCAAAACAGGAAGAACAATGGTATTATTTTCTATTTTATTGAGGTCTTTGGGTATAAATTAGATTCGTGGTAAAAGAGATCTTTTAAATAAGTACAGAGATGCACAATTGCGAATAGGTTGGGGAATGCTGTTGTATAACTCCGCCCCCATGTAGAAAAGTTGTTTGTTCGGGGTATGGGTAGGGAGAGATTATTTTACCGTAGCTGATAAGGTCTTGGGAGATAATATATGTTTTCAGTTCAATAATTTGGTGTCATGTTTCATATTGAGGATTAAAAAAAAGATGATTACATTAATAAGAGATTTCTGGCAAGATTTCAAGGCGCCGAATCCACTTAAAATCAAATGCTCTTGGCGTACTTGTAAAACATACACACACAGACATACACACACACACACGCACACACACACGCGCACTAGCTTACATTGGGTGGAAATCGGGGACAGGATTTTTATACCGTAACGTGGGAACATTATAATAAACGCCCTGACAATGTTGACTCGTTTTGTTTTATATTTCATTTATTGCCTCAATTCATAAAGTGAACCGAAAGTTTGATAAGAGGATTTATTTTGAAGAGATTACTTCACATTCCAATTGAGGCCCAAAAGAATACACATGTGTGTCGGTCGTGTGAACGTTTAAATAGAGGAAATGAGTATGCATGGACTAGCAGAGAATTTCACATTCCAACTGGGGCCCCAAAACATACAAAGGTGTATCGATCGTGTGAACATCTTACTTATGAATAGAGGACATGCGTATAAATGGACTAGGAGAAAATTGCATATTCGAACTGGGGATCATATAAATACGCAGGCATAGCATGCTGATATACCTTTCAAATCAAAGGGTTTCCGGAGAAATTCTTGATTTCAAAGGGGGTGAGAAACATCAAGCCGTGATGATTGAATATATATTGTTTGTTACATAGCACAAAAATAGCCGAAACTCTAAATTCGACAATCCTTTAAAAAAGACAATAATTAACCAAGTGAACGCATCATAAAGAGGGCATTACAAGACATCAAAGGAATCTATTTTACAACAATAGTAAATGCAACCGTATTATTGAACAGCCTTCCTTCTCTCTCTATTTTGTAGTTGCGAGGGGAGGGGGGGGGGGGGGGGGGAGTAACGCCCAATCGGGCCCCCGACCCGCACAGCGCACCTTGTTGGCGGGAAAAATCGTAACTGATCTTCCTTTCCTTGCCCTCTTTTTATTTTCTTCTTCCTCTTTATTTTCTTTCCCCTTCTCTCCTCTTTCCCCTTCCCTTCCTTCTCTCTCTTTCTCTCTTTTTGCTAAGGGGGGGGGGGACGCAAGGGCCTTTCGGTCCCCCTCCGCCGATCCACACCTTATTGGCGGGACAAAGCGCGACTGATCTCCCCTACCTTTCTTCTTCCTTTTCCTTCTTTCCCTTTCTCCCCTTTTCCCCTTCCCTTCCCTTTCTTCTCTCTCTTTTAAGTTTTCTGGGGGAGGGGGGGGGGGGGGGGGGGTCTACAACTTGTTGGCAGGGAAATCGCAACTGATATTTCCATTTCTTGCTCTATTTCCTTCCCTTTGGCTCCTCTTTTCCTTTGTACTTTCCCTTTCCTTTCCTCCTCTCTCTTTTTTTTGCTGGGGGTGGGGGAGGCAAAGTCCCCCCCGATCTCCCTCTTTTCCTCTTTTTATTTTGTATTCTTCCTCTTCTTTCTTTCCTTTTCTCTCCTCTTTCCCCTTCCCTTCTTTTCATTCTCTCTCTTTCTGATCTCTTTCGTGGTCAGCTAGTGTGCACGTGATGTTGTTTCCCCATATAAAAGGTAACAAATTTTCTTTTATTTCTGAGATGTTGATATTCAGGCATAAAGCGTCGATCCCAGAGGCAAAAATGTTCTTGCATGCCTTTGCCTTTATGGATATAATGTAGATAAGAAAGTTCAAAGCTTCGTGTGCAAATATACCATGATATCTTATCTTATGGAGTCACCTGAATAAAGAAGAACGTTTTCTCATGGGGCGTGAATGTCATTGCCGAATGTTATTCGAAACGTCATTATTTTGCTGAGGTCCTACGCGTTGACATCTGTTTGAATATTTCTTGTAAGTTTAGTTACAGATTTTATGTTTTTTATATGTTTTTATGATGTATTCTTGTTCAATGTGTCATTTTTTCTATTCCCCGCATCCCAATAATTGGGTATTGTCCTGGGTTTGCGCAAGTTCGATCACTAAAGTGATGTTTGAGAGTATCAAGATGACAGCCCAACCGCTGGGTTGGTTTAGATATTGAAAACAATGGGAGTTTGTATATCGTGTATCGCAGACAACACCGATATCTGCATTAAAGAGATCCTATTTGTTATTCAGCTTTTTAATGCAAGAGGTCTTAGATAAATCTCAATCGAAGAGGCACAACGTTCTATGAGAGAGATTTTTTTCCCTTTTTTTTGGGTGGGGGGGGGGGGGTGTATTTTTAAGATAGTTATGTTTTAAGATCGTTTGTTTTTAAAAGAATGGCTATATAACTTCTGATCAGTTTTTTCCGAGAGGTACTTGAGTCGACGATGAAATGTCGTTCAAAATTTGATACTAGAACAGACGTAGTTTCATTACAAAATGCTGTGCTAATGACCAAAACCCCCACCAATATACAAACCAAAGAGCTATGCTGCAGGTTTATGTATACATTTGGCTCTTGCTGTTGATGTGGGAAACAGGCAGAATGGAATCGGGCTGCTTTCCAGGTCGGTTCGGGATCGTCGGTTGTCGGGCCTGCATCGCTACCCGACTTGCGAAATTTGAGAAGTTTTAATCGGTCTGTTGTCGGTCTTGGCGGTGTCATTGTAGTATGAGTATGGAGAGAAAAGATGAGATAGGTAGAGAGAAAGATAATAATAATTATCCTTGCTTATGTAGCGCCTAACACTTATTTTATCAGAAGTCTCTAAGCGCTCTACAATAATGCAGCATAATTACACTGGCTTTAGCAGTGCAGCAGTGCAGATAGAGAGAGAGAGAGAGAGAGAGAGAGAATGAGAGGTTAAGAAAAAATAGTGAAAGTAAGGAATAGGATGACCATTATGTATCAGTTAACCCATTAACAGGTGAAACTTGCAGAGAAAAAGCGTTTCGAAAATGGCGTCCCTGGTACAAAAGATATCTCTGATGGTGCTTCTCCTGACCGGCTTCGTCTGGCTTTCTGAAGGTGAGGTCTGCAGGGAGTGCACGAAATGTCCCCAATATTGGATGGAGATCGGAGAATATTGCTACCAGTACTTCGGCAATAAAATGAAATTTCACGACGCTGAGAACATTTGTAATCGAATTGGAGGAGACCTGCCAAGCATCCGAAACGAGGAGGAAGGTAACACCATCTACCAGCTATGGAAGGGACTCGTTAATAATCCCACTAAAATGGACTACGTAAGTACAACATGTTTCAGTGGCGGATCTCTGAAGGTGTTTGTGGTTGGGGAGGGGGGGGGGGGGGGGTGGGCTGCCGCCCCCCACTCCGGGAACGGAGGGATCGCATTCATGCGGGTGGGATCGCGCGTCTTTGGTCTCTCTGGGAGCAGACATGTGCAGGATTTGATGCACGTTGATGATGGTCTAGTACTTAATTTGAACTGGGAATCTCGCTCAACCCGGCCCCAACTTAGTGTTATTTAGGGTACGCATATGCTTGTTCCCTCTTTTTGAAAGCACCCCCTATCTGAGGACTGCCAACATTTCTGGACCCCCCTCCGCGGGTTTTTCGCGGGCTTTTCCTGCATTGGAGACCCCCCTAAATCCGGAACACTGCTCAATGGACCCCCTATCTCAGCACATGCAGACCAACCCCCCCCCCCCTATCTCAGATAAGCTGTCATTACTGGTTGGCTCACACACCCAGGGAATACCCCAAAGAACTCAGCCTGCATTACGTACAGACATTTAGCACACGAAATACATACAAAATTTCTGTGCTCGTGTTTTCATTTATACTTCGTAAGAATAAACAAAGTCTGCAAATTAGTTCTATGCTCACTTATCTGCATAATATATCACCACCGAATAATTAATTTAGTGCCTGATATTGAGACTTAGTTAGAAATAAACCTTCCATGAATCTTAACTGACATCATCTGTGCCTGCATGATGTGTCCTTTCACATACTAATGTACCTGACATAATAAATGACTTATGTAATCAAACGCTGTAACTAAGTACTTTATCCTCGTAAAGATAGATTTAACGAATCAGTAAGTTAAAAAAAAATTGTATTGTACTGCTATTTAATTTGGATGTCATCAATTGTTACTAAACTAAAGTACCGATTTTGAGTGAAATCAGTTGAGTTTTGTACAGTGGTGTTTGAAATGTTGAGAAGTAATAGAATAGGTTCAATACACAGGACACAGCCAGGATAGAAATGCAGCTGTGTGTGAATTAGGGTAGACTACAGTACAAAACTAGTCTACATCAGTCCCGGGATTTGATCAATTTTTCTATGTTCAAGATATTTCATAATCCCCTTTTTAATTGTACTCTGTAAACTTATTTTATTACGTACATACTGTTCAGTATTTCGTTACCTGTACAATTCATTTGTTCTGTTATATATTGTAATTCTGTATGGTCATTTTAATTTGTGGATATTTTAGTTGAAAAATAAATAAATCAAATCAAATCAAATCAGAAGTTCCCAAAATCTCAGTTAAAGGGTACTTCTCATGCAACAAAGTCCGGCTCGTAATACATAAAAAAAATCGGCCCGTATTGACTTTAAACAACTCTGAAAAATCTGTGACAAGCGAGGAAAAAAAAACAACAATTTTAATGTACAGAGCCCAGTGAAGTATATATACTGGACATTTGTTGCGAGCAGTTAACATTCCTTTACAAGAAAAAAAAGTACTAAGAAATACAAATAAATATTTTTAAAAAATCGTTGCCGTTTTTCTTTGCGGTGGTTCACCACTTCACCGCATCATATCTGAAGACCCTTTACTCATTGCACTACATCATCTTTCCTAAACAGGCCTACTGGATTGGTCTGCGTGATACCCACCAGGAAAAAAAGTTTGAATGGACAGATGGCACCCCTCTACAATACAATAACTGGAAGCATGGAGAGCCCAACAACTGGGAAAACGAGGACTGTGTTGAAATCCGCAATGCTGGCAACAATGACTACGAACGACAGCGCTGGAATGATAGGGGGTGCAATCACGATCGAGCCTTCTTCTGCCGCAAGCCGCTCAACTGAACGTCAGAGATCCAATGTCGATTATGATGAGGGGGGGGGGGTAATAGAAAGACAACCTTTTGTTTTAGTTTCCATTTGTAATCTTATCTGCTAGTTCAGGCGAAAGCTAGTCAGTTTATGATAAAATTGTTGACGGGAACCATATGAATTTTGATTATTTTGCATTCGATCTCTACACGGGCTACACGCGCCTGACTCGAAATACTTTCATTTATCCATAATTTCCATCTGATCACAACTTTTAGTTTTTGTTCTCTAAAAAAAGATACCCTACAGAAGGAAACATAGACAATTTTTGGCTAATTTCGGCTAACGCGCCCCGCCGCAAAATCCGACGTTTTAGTAAAACATTTCATTTTTTTTTTTTATTTGAAGCACTTCTCTACTTTATCAAATTAAAGTTGCCCTTTTTGACGTTTACATCGATACATTCGATTTCAGTTTTGATTAGGAGTTGAAAGCGAAATATATTTCAGGCTTTCAGCTGGCCATTTAACAGGCATGTTTGAATTTAGTAACCTTACTTAAAATTATCATCATACATTAGTGCTTTATTCGTTGTTATTATCTGCTTATTGTACCGTATTGATAAATTCTATACCAGGGACTTTGGCAAAATCAAATCAATATTTAGAAGACTAACAATGATATCATCTGCATTCAATCATTTCTGTGTTATCTCTATCGTACTTATTTCTCGAAGATGAGAATATAATGCAGAGGATAGAAGATTAAATATAGTACTGGAGATTTAAAAAAAGAAGAAAGAAAGAGAGAAAAGGGAGAGAGAGAGAGAGAGAGACAGATTGGGGGGGGGGGGCAGAGTGAGGAAGGGAGGGAGAAAGAAAGAAAGACAGAAGAAAGGGGAAATTAAGAAAGATGGGAACACAAATCACCCGTTCCGAATAAGTTCGGGTTCAAAAAATGGTAATAACGATCCTGGACTCCGCCTCTTCTATACTTCTTCCTTCCAAACTTCAACAACGATATTAGAGCCAATATATTGTTTCTTAATATCTGTGAGTGAGATCTGAACAACAGAGAGCGGTCATAATTATTACAAGGATTGTCGATAACTAGGCCTACACAACGACATTTACTTTTGTCCCACAAAATAATATTCATTCATATAGTGCCATTGCTACTGGACACATCGTTTCCTAAAACACACATACACACACACACAAACACACGCACACACACTCACACTCACACACACATACAAACACACACAAATAAATCACGTCACATGCATAAAAAAACGTCCCCTTTTATTAAGCCAAAGACTTCAGCTCATCGAAATATCACCATATATCACTTATATCATTATCATGTATATTTATACACTGAATATATTCCGATTTTGTATGTTTTCATTTTACTTATACTGCATTTCATAACCATAAACCAGAGGGAAATTAGTTAAGAGGGCGTCTCTCTCTCTCTAATTGCCATATCGATTAACCCTCGGCTCCAAGCCTTCTCTATTAGCACCACTCCCAGTTCTTTCACTCCTCTCTCTTCTAACAATTTATGCAGACTGTCCATCAAAAATCTCCGGCCTTCTTTACGGGTAATATGACCCATGAACTTCAACTGCGTAATCAATATCTCACGTATCTTTTTCCATTGCACTCCAGCTCTTCTAAGAATTTCCTCATTACTAACTCTAATAAAGAGGGCGTACAAAGCGTTTTTTAGCATATGAAAATATATCAATACCTGTACAAAAAGCGTGTTTGCCGCCTTGAAATAATATACTACTAGAGTTCATCTGTATACTTGGTCTTAATCTCTATCATATCACCATAATCTTTGGCCATGGAAATAAGATCGGGTGCAGCGCTCTTACAACAATTGTCTGTGCTTTGGCAGTGATGACACCATGTTAGTAGTCAGTTTAGTTCTCGCAATGCCAATTTTTTTTCTTTCTTTTTACTGGTTTCAAGATTTTTACCAAAACATATACAAAGGGTACTATTCAAATATCTGTCTCTGTTTTACCACACCTCATATCACAAAAGGATGTATACAAAGTTATAGAAAAATTCATTACCAATTCTTATGACATTCTTGTGAATGTCATGAATGATATGACCAAGAATCCAAATGAAACTTTCGATTTTCTAAAAAGCAATGGCTATTAGTCTATGTTTATATATTTTCACTTCATTTAAACAGGGTTGCCTATATTTGAATAGATTTTTGAATGCTTGATACATGGTCTAAATAGTAATATAAATCAACTGCCATATATTCCTGGGTGGAATCGTGTGTTATTGAAAATACCTAGAGTCTTTTGGTCACTTAAAATTTGGAGTCGAATCGTATTTAAGAAATTCATCATGTCCCCAGGGTTTCTAATCCTCACCATAACCCTAACCCTTACCTAATTTCCTCAACTCCTTCCTTTTCTCCACCCTCCTCTCGCTCTCTCTTCCTCCCCCTCTTTCCATCTCCTTCCTACCTCTCACTCTTCCTCTTTACCCTTGTTAATATCATCATACCACTTTTTGTATATTATCTTTTACTGCTTTTAACTCATACTCATAAACAAGAGGGAAGGTAATAAAAAAGGAGTATAAAGCGTTTTTTTAGCATCTGACAATATTTTACTACATGTATAAAATGCGTGTTTGACGCCTGACAATATTTTACTACTTTAAGCATTCATCTATACTTGGTCTTATTTTCTATCATAACGTAACAATCTTTGGCCATGGAAAGAAGACTCGGGTGCAGCGCTCTTACATTAATTGTCTGTGCTTTGGCAGTGATGACGCCATGTAAGTAGTCAGTTTAATTCTTACTATGCCAAAGGGGTTTTACTTGTTTCAAGATTTTACCTGACATAAACATCCACACCGACTCCACACCTACCCCGCGGATCCAGGATTTCTTAGGGGAGGGGGCCCAACTTTTCTTTTTTTCTTTTGCTCCCGAAAATTTGAAAATCGCGCCGGCCGAAAAGTCGCTCAGTGGGGGGGGGGGGGGGGGGGTACAGAGCACAATTTTTTTTTTTTTTTTTTTTTTTTTTTTTTTTTGCTCCCGAAAATTTGAAAAACGCGCCGGCCAAAAATTCGCTCAGTGGGGGGGGGGGGGGGGGGGGGGGGGGGGGGGGGGGGGGGGGGGGGGTAGTGAACACATTTTTTTTTTTTTGATCCTCAAAAAAATTTCAATTTGCACCCCCCCCTTGAGCGCCAGGGGGGGGGCCCAACCCCCAAAAATCGTAAAAATCACGTGATTTTACATGATTTTTTTCTCAAGGGGGGGGGCCCGGGCCCCCCGGGCCCCCCCCCTGGATCCGCCACTGCCCCAGACCGACCCCAGACCGACTCCACACCGACCCCAGACAGACTCTACACCGACCCTAGACCGACCCCAGACCGACTCCACATCGACTCCACACCGGCTGATTTTTGACCACTGGGGTTAACGTTATTATTTTGTTGAGTGTGTAATCGGTGTGATGTGGTCTCTTTGGTGTGACTGAAGTTTAATATATAAGCCTTTGATTCTATTCGCATCAAGTTTTAGCAAACGAATCGCCGGGTTCGCTTGGACATGGTAGTGATAGTTGCAAACCAGTCGTTTGGACGGGAAAGTTGTTGAACAAAAGACCACATACCGTGTAGACGGCAAACGCTCTTTTGGGAAGCCCGGGAAGCCCGGATCTCACCAGGTTCAACGTAAACACTGCACAATCGGTATGAATATGAATCCCTTTGGTAATTCAACATGGGAGAAGTCAACTCAATCTAAGAACTTACACCTAACATTTATTTTTGAAACTTATCACTTCTTTACTGGGTGGGTCATTTTCACCAATAGTGGGGGTTTTCCATCTATCATATTTCCTGACAGATTTTATCTACTAATTACAATTGCTTGATTTGATAATGAAATAGTTACAGACAGTAACAACGTTGAATCATACCATATTATAATTAAACTAGCAGGACCCGCGGAAATCCGCGGGATTCTAGAGGGGGGCGGGGGTGTAAATAGATATATAGAGACCATGGGCGTCAATCCTTACGCAATACCTATTGTTCAGGGGGGGGGGGGATGATCTATCATCTCCCCTGAACAATAGGTATCACGTAAGGATTGACGCCCATAATAGAGACTCTCTAAATTAAAACCACCAAGAACTTTATTTGCCATTTATTAAAAAAACACAAAAAACGATCCAACTCTACCGGTAGTTATTCTTTAAGCCTCTTTCACACTGGAACTGCGTAGAGTTGCGTAGAGTGGCGTACCGACTACGCATAAATTAGGCTGCGTATTAATGAAAAAATGTTGCTTCCCTGTAGTCCCTGCATGCATAGGTTATGCATAGGCTATAGTGTACATGTTTGCCTATGGTTAATAATAATAATAATAATTAACCGTTCTTGTATAGCGCATAACACATAGTATTAAAACATGTCCCTAAGCGCTCTAGAGAAAAAAAAACATAACAGAATACAAAGACAAGACATACTGGGTAACGGACAAAATGGATGAATTAAATGTTAAATAAGTGCGTCTTTAAAGCAATCTTAAACTTAACAATGGAGTCAATGTTTTTTAGATGTTCCGGGAGATTGTTCCATGAAGTTGAGGCAGTGTGAGCGAAGCTGCGTTCACCATATGACCTGGTCATCACTGGCGGAATAACAAACAATTTTTTCTTATTAGAACGAAGATTTCTAGAAGGTGTGTACAATGTTAATAGCTCAATCAAATAAGGAGGCGCAAAATCATAAAAACATTCATAAGCTAACAACAATATTTTGAATAAAATGCGAGAGTGAATGGGTAGTCAGTGTAAGTCTCTTAAAATAAGAGACACAGATTCATGTTTCCTAATACGATAAATAAGACGAGCTGCTGAGTTCTGCACAACCTGCATCTTCTGCATTGGTTGCTTACGGTTGCTTACTGTGTGGAAAGCTTTTACTGCTTTGTCGATCTGGCGTAGGGTAGCGTACTGTTGCGTAGGCATGGCGTACAGTAGCGTAGTGTTGCGTGAAAAGGCGTACTTTCTGCGTCAATTTTCTACGCCGAAAGTACGCGGAAAAAATACGCATGTTGAATTGTTTGCGTCCATCAGCATGTAGTAACGTAGGCCAGCGTAGTTGGTACGCAACACTACGCAAATATACGTATGGACCCCACGCCAATTAGTGACCTGCCAGTGTCACAAATAAATTATTAAAAATATGCTCGTCTGACCCTAATTAAATGCCTAAAACCTAGCTGTGAGCTTTCGGGGGTTTATGGCCCTTGAAACCCGTGGACCCACGCCTATAAACACTCAACTCGCTGCGATCTAACCCTAATTAAATGCCTAAATCCCGTGAGCTTTCGGGGGTTTATGGACCCTTGAAACCCGTAGACCCCACACCTATAAACACTCAACTCGCTGCGATCTAACTGACCCCCCCCCCTTTGAAAAAAATCTGCATGTAACATGTAAGAATGGTGCAAGGTGATGCAGATTTTTTTCCAGCACTCCCCCCCCCTCCCATTTTACTCATTACGCAACTGACTGTTTTGCAATGCATGAAGTCACATACATCTGTCTGGTTGATATTGAACTATTAATATGTAAATGTACAATTCATAACCTTGTTTAAATTTTCTTTTAAATTACTGTAGATATAAGACAATATTAGTCTCCGATGGCTGAGTAGACGTAGAGTCGTATAGTTGTATAGCTGAGAGTCGTATAGTCGTATAGCTGTATAGGTGTACAAAATTATGGCACTTCGGCCCGCACGCTGTTGTGTTGACGGGTTCTTCGATGGATGGATAGACGTACGTATGTGTAATTGTATAGTTGTACGATTATTGGCCTGCTTGGCCCCCCATACTCTTCGACTCTACCTCACTCAGCCAAAGTACTCATGTTTATTCATGAGGCCGCTAGCCTAGCGTTACTTCGCACCTTCGTACGCTACCCACGGCCGACACAGCGCAGCAGCACTGTGTGTACTGTATGTATGTGTGTGTAGACTGAAGGCAGCTTGCGACTGAACTGTCAGTCCAATGGTTTTCTTGTGAAAACTTTCCTTTAGAAAATGATGATCAAAATTCAGTAAGCATGGCCGTAATAATCACAAAATAAGCTTTGATTTCATACCTCCATTCACGAAAAACTATAAACAAATCGCGGCAATCATGATGGAAATAGGTCTCTAAGTTTGGACGTCGACGGGAAGCCCCGTGTATCATGGTATCTCTCTGGCTTGTGCAGCGCTACTACAAAGGATATCCTATAGAAAGATGCTTTACTCGGGTAATCCCGACCCTGTGCATCATGCATTTAATACGCAACTTAATGTGAGTGGATAGTCATCGGTCGTGTGTCTACGGATGTAATGTTGAATATCCATGAGGTATCTCTGTCGTCACGCATATCCTGCATTATGCATATCGCGTCTGTTTTCGCCCTGGACGTCGACACGGAGGAGGACCTCGGGCGGAGTGTAGCCAATTCCACAGAGTAGACTCTCCCGCGGACGATGGCACCGGGCACGGGTGCCCCGAGGGGAGGGTTCAGGAGGAGATAGCCGCACCAACTTGGGTCGGCGATCTCATTAAAAAACAATAGAATACAAAGGCTCGCGGAGACGTCGCGCCCCCCGCGGAGCCTTAGCGTATTACTTATATAGATTCTCTGTGCGTTTTACATTGCGATATTTGTTCCCATAAACTGCAGTGCCGTAAGTTGAAATAACAATTTTCGTATATGTTTTCGTGAAAAGTCTATGACAATATGATATAATCTCAATAAATAAAGTACATATCTTCTCAGAACTTTGCTGATTGATAAAGATTGGTAAATAAAAACAACAGTAACACAAATAAAACGGATACCAAAACACCGCCTCGGTTAATTTCGTTCTGCACAAGCTTCAAGGAACAAAAATGGCACTTTTCAATTTGTTGTTGTTGGGGGGACGACCCCCTCAATTTTATTAGGGGAGGGGGCCGTCCCCCACGGAAAATTTGAAAAATGCCAAAGACGTGTCCTCCCGGGATCCCCACTCATGTGCACTTGTGAGAGTTTCTTGTTATTTTTGTTTACTACCGCGACAAAAAGATTTGAGAAGCTCTCCTGAAGTGTTTCCCGGGGAGCCACAGGACTGTGGTGACATCAAGGCAAGTGGGATGAATATGAGTGGAATCTATGGCATCAATCCTGGAGGAGTCGGAAGACCGTTCAACGTCTACTGCGACATGGACACCGCTGGTGGTGGTTGGACGGTGAGTCGAGGGTTCGAATCCCAGCCCGACACTAAAGTCATTTAGCAATTAAATTCATGGTTCGCTACTCTTCACCCTGGTGCAAATCAAAACCTGATATGCTAAAGCGCTACATATGCTATTTTGAGTTGGAGCGACATGGTGGTCGCGTCATGACGGATATTTGCCCTGTATAAGAAACTACCATTATTGTCCACCTTTCAAAGTTGAACGATGTGTTGGTTTATTGGTTAGATTTATTTTATTTCAAAAAATACACATCGATGGATGAATAATATACAAATCAGTGATTGAAAAGACACGTGGATCGCTCTAGTTAGAGCCAAATTATCTCTTCTTCCTAGATGTCTAGATAAAATAAGAGCGTTTTAAGTGGTACTGGGATAATGGGGTGGGGAGGATTGGGGGGGGGGGGCTCCCACTGATTCCCCCTTCCTCGATATCTCAAAAGCTACCAGTCAATGCCACTGTGGCGTAACATTTCATCATCTTTAATACTGAAAGTGTCAATTTAAATGCCATTTTGCATCATAACTATACTGTTCCATTGAGTTTTAATTCCTTCGTATTTCCCGTCTGTAGTAAATAAAGTGCATTTAAAACTTGACTTGAATGCATTTCAAACACACAATTAGGAACGCCTGTTAATTATTAAGCATGTTTAAAGCATTTTTAAGAGCTCTAAAATTTAGATTTTATTATTTCTGAGTTTTTACATTTCTAAAACTTCATAAGAATGAACACAGTAGGCAAAAAGGAGCACCTTCTAATGCATTATTTTAATTGTTATGATAGGGGTGTAAATATCAAATTAGATATTTGTCGAGGGGGGGGGGGATCTTGGAAAATTTTACAAAAACTCATTTGTAGTGGTAGGAAATAACTGGCATGCAGTATAGCTTCTCTTATTGAGTTATTTCATCAACGTTTGCGTCCCCCCCACAAAAAAACCAACAGCGACAAACAAACAAAAAACAACCAAAATCAAAGCCAAAAAGGAACAAGTAGAAATGTTTGGATTATATAGAAAGTGTTTATCATCCACACTCTATACGCTCCTTACAATAGGTCTTCCAAAGAAGAAAGGACGGTTCTGTTGATTTCAGTGGTAATTGGTCAGACTATAAGAAGGGCTTCGGGAGCGTTTCTGGTGAACACTGGCTTGGAAACGATAAGATTCATCGCCTGACGAGCCAGAAGACGTATGCACTACGGGTCGATATTGAAGATTTCTCTGGGAGGACCAGCCATGCCAGTTACCGCGAGTTCATGATTGGCAATGAGACCATGAATTATGAGCTGAAGCTAGGTGCTTATTCTGGTGGAAGTGCAGGTAACTTTCCTCACAATAATGACCCTTTGTCCCTGGCTTCATACATGGACCGGGAGTAGGGGTGGGGGGGGGGGGGGGGGATGGGAGTATTCTTTTTGAGGGAATTGCGGGTAGGCGATTCCAGGCAATGAGTCCAAATTAGCCATTTATTCAAACAAAACATAAATACCTCTTGATATTCCCATTAATCAATGGATCTTTCTGGTATCACTATTAACATTTTTAAATGGTCATATAAAAGACGCTTTTCTTTTTTTGATGAAGTGTATCATAAATTGAATATAAACATAATGTCGTACGGGACAAATTTGTTCAGGGGGTATTGTTTCTTTTTGTTATTATGTTATTTATTGATATATATATATCCTTTAAACATGTTGTTTGAACAGGACATCTATATATAATCATAAATGGTACATTAACAGGACATAATAAAAACAGGTATATCACCCTAACCCTAACCCTAAATTCAAAACGATCTAACCAATTAAACTAACGACTACTGAGTATACCTTTTTTTGGTAGGCCTATGCGTTACTTCTGTCTGCAATGTACGTAGAGGGCAGTAATTCTATTGTTCAATCGTTAACACGACATGAAAATGTCCCGCTAATGACCATGTCTACTAAATGACTTATTTGTTTACTACATTATGTCCGTCTAATGACGCCGTAAGGTATACATAGATAAATACATAACTCAAAGCAAAATCAATTGAATTCAATATCCTTTATCATGCAGGAGACAGTCTTGGACATCACCGCGGACATCAATTCAGTACCAAAGACCGAGACGAATTTTGTGCCATATATTATCGATCCGGGTGGTGGTTCACTCAGTGTCTCGTTTGCAACCTTAACGGGATCTATCGGGACGACAGGGTTCACGCTACCCCCCAGGTACCAGGCATGCGGTGGGAAACATGGCTAAACGATGTGAATGTCCTCAAGGGAAGCGAGATGAAGATGCGCCCGCTATTTGGGTGACTGAGCCGCGTCCCAAGGGATAACTATGGAACTGGGAGCCGTAGATGCTGGGTCGCTGCAGGAGTTGCTGGGAGAACGGTCGCAAAGTCTTACGAGAGCCAAACTTAAAACAATTCTAATACACAATCATGACTATAGTATATCCATTTCATATCAACTGGTTTTAAACTGGCCATAAATTGGTTATTGATATGGATTGATGTCCACTCAAACTATTGATAATGCAAAATATTTCTGTTTAAAACATCAAATTGACATTCGTGTTGTTATTGACAATCTATAAAACCAAATCCCAAGAATTTTATGAAATGGAGAGACCCCCCTAAAACAGACAGTAGCATATACATGTGGCAAATATCAATGTATAGATCAGACTTTATCTTATTTTTTGATTTACTCTTTGTCTATTTACAAGGCTGCTGCAGACGAAAAGTAAAACGGTTAAAGCATCACAGAAAAACATGATCAAAGTAGATTAAATAAAATGTGTAAAGTGTTAATTTTCATATTTCTCTTTGTTCTTTTTTGTATAGCTATTTTGCTCTCAGTGGAAATACTGAATTGATAAACCACACGAAGAAGCAACAATAATTAGTCAACCTTTCTACATTTAAATTCCTAGCCGGTTGTCGGAATTCGGCGGACGATTAGAGAATAATCGGCGACTGATCATATATAATTTCGTCGAACTTTATACATTATTTATTTAATCAATAATCGTTTGTACTCCCAAAGAGCCTTTATCTAAAAAGGAGAGGAAATTTCATTCATTTATCATATACTGCAGTGTTTATCTTAAGCTTTCTAGTCTCTCGGTCGCTACACTCCCTCGAATATATATATTTTTATAGCACACACAGTTTTTCTTAACTGTAAAAGTTAAGCCTAGTATAAAGGCACCAGAAGCAAGGGGGCAGATGCTACAATCTATTTATCTATCTTCCATCAGCGTGGGAGCAATAGTTCTTATCTCTTTAAGATAATATAGTGTACATAGTTTTCAGTAAAGCTAACAGCTTACAAGCGCTCTTTTAATGCAGTTTTACCGTTCCAAAACCCAAATTTTGTCACTTATTTGGACTCCACGCTCGATTCCATAATACATATACCAAAAAAGCGGCGTATGTTAATACTGTAGATACCCTGTCTCCCAGTGGCGCCAAGGGGGGGGGGGGGGGTGAATTGTTTCTTTTATTGGGGAGGGCCCGTTTATGCCCCCTCGCTTCCCACAAATAGCTCTATACAAACAGAAGCAGTTAGATTCTGATTCATGCTTTAGTGGTTCATTGTTTAAAGTCTTCATACGACCTTCTTAAATCCCAAGAATAACCTTAAATTATTTCAAGTCACCTGCTAACAGACTAACGTCTGAACTCGTGACATCTAAAATCTCTCTGCCCACGTGTCCAAAGCGCCTTTTGACATGCCCAAGGTGCATAAGGTATTTGTTTCGAACAGCACATGAATATTCAGAGATCTACTAAATTAAACCTCAAAGGTAACATAAATGCAAAAAAGAACACTACGTAAGATTTTGCCATTAAACTTGTTAGAAAAAAGATAAAATGACTCAATGTCAAGGCTTGCCTTAAAGGTAATACAAAGTTTTGGTATGGGGTTATGAATTTGGTTCAAATGAACATTTTGGAAGCATATGCGATCCTACAATATTCAGTGATCGTTGGCGCGGTTGAAATCGAGTCCAAAGTGATGAAATTGTAATAATAATAATTTTCTAGTGCTCATAACACATCCACAGGGGCATCCAAATATATAAAAATTGTAAAGAATCACTATGCATCAAATTTTCAAAATTTTCCAAAACTTTTCTTTACCTTTAAACAGAGGATGCGAATGAAGCTAAGATTGTGTAATCATAACGAAGAAAATATCATTAATGTTGACAGTGGCCCTTTTCTATTAAAAGGCAAATAAGTATACAAGTGTTTACGGACTGGAATAACACATTCATTGCTTTAGGCCTAACTTGGTATACAAGACGGTTTTGATAATACGTTTTGAAAAGGCTGCTGCAGAGTCATTCATGGAAGATGAGCTATGAATAATGTATAATTAGACAAAGTATGAGCTACCCTTTAAACATGAAATAAATGCCTATGCTATACAGCTGATAACTGTTAAATAGGAATAAATCGAAGTTAGGTATCCCTTTTCCCCTTCCATTTCATACATGTAGATATTTATCTCTTCTTCCCTCCCTCAATCACTCACACAGGCTCCCTCTCTCACCATCTTGAATACAGGTTCATAGTTCATGGTACAATTAAAACAACAACAACTACTTTATACTGTATTCCTAATGATTTAATCCCCTCTCTGCTTTTGTTGTTTTCACCTCTTTGACTCTACATAATTCATATTTTTCTTGTGTAGTAAATGCATCTGCCTATTCCGTCTGTGCATGTATATAGTCTTCATATATATTATGGTATTTGTTGTTTTATTTTCTATTATCTTCGTTAATTTGCTTGTTAACTATGGGTTTTTGATAGAAAGGAGGTCTACGTTTAACAAGCTTTACGTTTCTTAGTAGACCCCTCCAAATTTTCCCGTTACTTTCTCGCTAAAAAACATAAATCTGCTAATTCTTACTCGATCTGCTTTTGCTAGTAAAATCAATGTAAATATTTGTCATTAATTTATATTTTTGACTAATATATTTGACTAACACCTCACACACACCGATGAAATTGACTCCAAACCGACAGCGTGACAGGGGTATTGCTAAATTTTGGCTGAGGTATGACTGTGGTATGACCGAGAAGGTATAACTGAGGTATGACTGTGGTATGATTGAGGGAGGACTGAGGTATGACCGAGATGTGACTAAGTTTTGACCAAGGTGTGACTAAGTTATGACCGAGGTGTGACTAAGGTATGACTGAAGTGTGACTGTGGTATAACTGAAGTATGACCGAGGAGGTATGACTGATGTATGACTAGTATGATTGAGGGAGGACTGAGGTATGACTGAGATAGGGCTGGGGTATTGCTGAGGTTTGGCTTATGTATGACTGAGGTATGACTGAGGTATGGCTGAGGTACGACTGAAGTATGACTGAGGTGTGACTGTGGTATGACTGAGGTGTGACTGAGGTATGACTGAGATATAGCTGATGTATGGCTGAGGTTTGGCTTAGGTATGACTGAGGTATGACTGAGGTATGGCTGAGGTACGACTGAAGTATGACTAAGGAGGTATGACTGAGGTATGGTTGAGGTATGGCTGAGGTTTGGCTTAGGTGTGACTGAGGCATGACTAAGGTATGACTGAAGTGTAACTGTGGTATGACTGAAGTATGACCGAGGAGGTATGACTGAGGTATGACTGTGGTATGATTGAGGGAGGACTGATGTATGACTGAATTATGGCTGAGGTATGACTGAGGTTTGGCTTAGGTGTGACTGAGGTATGACTGAAGTATGCCTGTGGTATGACTGAGATATGGCTGAGGTTTTGCTGAGGTATGACTAAGGTGTGACTGAGGCATGACTGAGGTATGACTGAGGTAGGACTAAGCTAAGACCGAGGTGTTACTAAGGTATGACTGAAGTATGATTGAGATGTGACCGAGGTATGACGGAGGTATGACTGAATTTGTAACATGTTCCAAAAATTGATGCAACAATTTTTCTCCAAAAATAGTCACATAGACGTCGTGTGTGCCTCGAAAGTGCCTAAATTGTGACCGATTTGAGACAAATTTGGAATCAGACATTCCGGGCTCAAGACAGGCGCGAACTGCCCTTGGACCCCTTGGAACGCGACACAAATGTTGAGTCAATTAAGAATAAATTGCTAACAAATTGCGATAAAGCTATATGGTTCCGATTTCTCAATTGTCACTCAAGAGTCGCACGACATAAATGCGAACTCCAGGCGAATTTTCGAAACGTCTCTCTGAATGCCGGAGAGACCGGTAATCGATGCACTGTTCGGGGAAAGAAACAACTGGCAATGGTTCTGCACTATCTTGATGAACCATGAGATATATTGATGATAGGCACATCCAGACAACCAGGGTAGAGCGACGAGGCATATGACTCTTGCT